TTTAAAAGAAAATTGTAAATATATACTAAAAATTAAGAAGTCAGTAATTTACCAAAACAACTAACAAACTGAAGGTTCTTACCATTTTTTGTTATATTTACATCTGTTATAATCAAAATAAATCGAAATGATTTTAAAATGCAATCTCAATTTATAACCGAATGAAAACATTACTTAAAACAAAGTTTTTGAATGCAAAAGAAAAAATGTACAATGTGCTAAAAGTTATTACTTAGATACAATCTCTACAAATACTCAGTAAACACTCATTACATATTGGTAGATTATATTTGATGTAAACAATTTTTGTCTACCTGTCTCTGACATATGGACAGTGTGTACACCTTTTCCTTGTCCTGGAAGAGGTACCGGTTGCCCTTGGAATTGCTTTTTCCCTGAAATTGAGGAGATACTTTGATGCAGGTGATATAAAAGTCGCACATTAGCCAACCTTTGTTCTCTCTATGAAATTGTATTGCATGTGTTGACAACTCTTTAGTAACACAGAAAAAAAATACATAGGCATTTACAAGAGAAACATTTATAATAGTATAAAATATTGCTAGAAGCCACCTTCTACAGTGCTTGTTAGTAGAGTAGATGTACATTTTTCATAGAGTGCATCAATACCTCTTTTGGTAGAATTATAGAACTGTATTATTTCTGGATTTTTTGTTTCTGTACTTATTGTGGTACTATGATGCTTTGATGATACAAGCTTTTACAACTTTTCACACTCTTGGTTGGTTCACACCTTGTAATATGATACAAGTGTAATGTTTCCAACAAAGCCAACCAAGGAGTATTTTGAAACTCTTGTTTTTGATGGTAAAAAATCTTTAAGGACTTCTTTATTTCTTTTTTGAAGTTCCAACATACGTCAGGCTCCCTTTTTTCAGTTCCATCATAAATACCATACAGGAGAACTAGTTATTGAGAGCTATATTGTGATTGGTTCTTTCTATGGACTGTACCAGTCAAAGAACAGATTGTGTTGCTTTATTCATTTTGTTTTCTTCCTATGACAACGTTTTGCTGTTGGTGTCCTTACTGGAATAAATATATCCATCTAAGAAGTACAGTAGAACTTCCATTACATGAACTAATTGGTGGACAAAAGTGTACACGTAAGAGAATTTTCATATAATAGAACAACAAGTGTTTAAAACTTGGACTATATATTATACCTAAGGCAAAATGAAATAAAATGAATATAATTTGTTTGTAGATAACTTCATACATAGAATACAACATTAAAAAGACAATATTGTTCAATCCTCCTTTTTAATGAAATTAAAGAAATGAAACCTATGGATACCAACAGATTTCATCCTACAGAAGCAAGTGCATATGTAAACATTTTGTATGTTTATATACAGTACTGTACTAGGAAATATGCTGTTCATATAATAGAACATTCACAGTGTTACGAGCACCGTGTATATACTCATGGCCTACTGGTGCTCGCTCCGGAATTGATAAAAGACGGGGACCTTACCGACCGGGGAATATTGATTCAACAGTCTCTGTTCACGTCCGCAAAGGCCCGGCCGAGAGATAGTTTAATCTCAATGTTTAAAGGCTTCGTGAACCTATCGAGGTCATCAGCCGCATAGCCCACCTCTCTAGCCATGTAGTGCTGCTGCACTCCCGTCACAGGCGAATCAGCTGATCCCCGATAGAGAATAGTATGGTCGGAGAACATACGGCACGTCATAACGTTCGACGTGCCACGCGGGATCACCAGTGTCTTCATCTCGTCCCGTCGATAGTCCTTGATCCGCACCATCAACCCCCACCCCCACTTATCGAGCGCCGGTGGCACGCCCCCCGGCTCCAGATAGCCAATATCTCTCGCAAGTCGTCCTCCCGCACTGTAATCTACCCTCCACACCAGCCCGTCCATCCGCTCGTACAATGGGTGGCTCTGGTATGTCAGGTCCCAGTCCGCGTCCTCCAAGTCCAATCTGTCTAGCGCGGCCTCCAACTGGGGATCGTCCTCCCCTGACCCCTGCTGATGCATACAGCCGTATGCCCAGCTCCTCTCTATGTCGTTGTACATGTAATGGGGGTTCGTCGGCCTCCCAGTCGCTGGCACGCAGAACTCCGACCACTCCGTGTTTATAATGCTCCGCCACCATGAAGAGGGCGTCCTCTTCCCCGTCAGCG